CAGAAATACAAAGCATCCTAAGAGACTATTACCAGCAATTCTATGCCAATAAAATGGACAACCTGGAAGAAATGGACAAATTCTCAGAAAGGTATAGCCTTCCAAGACTGAACCAGGAAGAAATAGAAATTATGAAGAGACCAATCACAAGTTACGAAATTGAAACCGTGATTAAAAATGTTCCAACAAAGTCCAGGACCAGATGGCTTCACAGGTAAATTCTATCAAACATTTAGAGAAGAGCTAACACCCATCCTTCTCAAACTCTTCCAAAATATTGTGGAGGAAGGAACACTCCCAAACTCATTCTATGAGGTCACCATCACCCTGATACCAAAACGAGACAAAGATACTACAAAAAAAGAAAATTACAGACCAATATCACTGATGATACAAAAATGCTCAACAAAATACTAGCAAACAGAATCCAAGAACACATTAAAAGGATCATACACCATGATCGAGTGGAATTTATCCCAGGGATGCAAGGATTCTTCAATATACGCAAATCAATCAATGTGATATACCATATTAACAAATTGAAGAAATAAAACCATATGATCATCTCAATAGATGCAGAAAAAGCTTTTGACAAAATTCAACACCGATTTATGGTAAAAACTCTCCAGAAAGTGGGCATAGAGGGAACCTACCTCAACATAATAAAGCCCATATACGACAAACCCACAGCAAACATCATTCTCAATGGTGAAAACCTGAAAGCATTTCCTCTAAGATCAGGAACACGACAAGTATGTCCACTCTCGCCACTATTATTCAACATAGTTTTGGAAGTCCTAACCACAGCAATCAGAGAAGAAAAAGAAATAAAAGGAAACAAATTGGGAAAGAAGAAGTAAAACTGTCACTGTTTGCAGATGACATGATACTATACATAGAGAATCCTAAAGATGTCACCAGAAAACTACTAGAGCTATCAATGAATTTGGTAAAGTAGCCGGATACAAAATAAATGCACAGAAATCTCTTGCATTCCTAGACACTAATGATGACAAATATGAAAGAGAAATTAAGGAAACACTCCCATTTACCATTGCAACAAAAAGAATGAAATACCTAGGAATAAACCTTCCTAGGGAGACAAAATACCTGTATGCAGAAAACTATAAGACACTGATGAAAGAAATTAAAGATGATACCAACAAATGGAGAGATATACCATGTTCTTGGATTGGAAGAATCGATATTGTGAAAATGACTATACTACCCAAAGCAATCTACAGATTCAATGCAATCCCTATCAAATTACCAATGACATTTCTTATTGAACTAGAACAAAAAATCTTAAAATTTGTATGGAGACACAAAAGACCCTGAATAGCCAAAGCAGTCTTGAGGGAAAAAAAGTGAGCTGGAGGAATCAGACTCCCTGACTTTAGACTATACTACAAAGTTACAGTAATCAAGACAATATGGTACTGGCACAAAACCAGAAATAGATCAATGGAACAAGATAGAAAGCCCAGAGGTAAACCCACACACCAATGGTCAACTAATCTATGACAGAGGAGGCAAGGATATACAATGGAGAAAAGACAGTCTCTTCAACAAGTGGTGCTGGGAAAACTGGACAGCTACATGTAAAAGAATGAAATTAGAACACTCCCTAACACCATACACAAAAATAAACTCAAAATGGATTAGAGACCTAAATGTAAGACTGGACACTATAGAACTCTTAGAGGAAAACATAGGCAGAACACTCTATGACATAAATCACAGCAAGATCTTTTTTGATCCACCTCCTAGAGTAATGGAAATAAAAAGAAAAATTAACAAATGGGACCTAATGAAACTTCAAAGCTTTTGCACAGCAAAGGAAACCATAAACAAGACAAAAAGACAACCCTTAGAATGGGAGAAAATATTTGCAAATGAATCAATGGACAGAGGATTAATCTCCAAAATATATAAACAGCTCATGCAGCTCAATATTAAAAAAACAAACAACCCAATCCAAAAATGGGCAGAAGACATAAATAGATATTTCTCCAAAGGAGATATACAGATGGCCAAGAAGCACATGAACAGCTGCTCAACATTACTAATCATTAGAGAAATGCAAGTCAAAACTTCAATGAGGTGTCACCTCACACCAGTTAGAATGGGCATCATCAGAAAATTTATAAACAACAAATGCTGGAGGGGGTGTGGAGAAAAGGGAACCCTCTTGCACTGTTGGTGGGAATTAAACTGATACAGTCACTATGGAGAACAGTATGGAGGTTCCTTAAAAAATTAAAAATAGAATTACCATATGACCCAGCAATCCTATTACTGGGCATATACCCAGAGAAAACCACAATTCAAAAAGACACATGCACCCTAATGTTCATTGCAGCACTATTTACATGCCCATATACAGACAAATGGATAAAGAAGATATGGTACATATATACAATGGAATATTACTCAGCCTTAAAAAGGAACGAAATTGGGTCTTTTGTAGAGACGTGGATGGATCTAGAGACTGTCATACGGAGTGAAGTAAGTCAGAAAGAGAAAAACAAATATCGTATATTAACACACATATGTGGAACCTAGAAAAAGGGTACAGATGAACCGGTTTGCAGGGCAGAAATTGAGACACAGATGTAGAGAACAAACGTATGGACATCAAGGGGGGAAAGCGGTGGGGGGGTGGGGGTGGGGGGGTGATGAATTGGGCGATTGGGATTGACATGTATACACTGATGTGTATAAAATTGATGACTAATAAGAACCTGCTGTATAAAAAAATAAATAAAATTTAAAAATTAAAAAAAACAACCAAAGGATATTTGCTTATTAACTGGAAGTTTTAGGCCACAGACATGAGCAGTTTAATCTCATTGATCAGCTTATTAGAAGTGATCCATTTTTTGAGTCATTAGATTCCTAACTTAATTAAAGAAGGAAAGCTGCTGTAGTTATTTGAAGGTATAGTGAAAAGATTAGGACTCTTGCTTCTTAAACAAGATTATAAGGAAATATGTACTAAAGTCTATAAAATCATAAAGTAGATTATACAAAATCAAAATAGCATAATAATTTTATTACTAAGTTTATAATTGTACCCATTCTAAAACATAGTACTATCTCATTCTTGTCAGAAATAGAATTTAGTAAATTCCATATTTCTATTTTGTCCTCTTAATTGATTAAAAACACTGTTTAGAAAATTGTGATTGAGAACAGATCTATCTTAAGTTTTCTTTTTTAAACAAAGTGCAAGTATATGTTTTACATATTTGCTTTTACTTAGGAAAAAAACTTAGAAAAATACAACTTGGGTGTAGTACCATGTGGTGTAAACAGCTGAACTATTTTACTTTTTACTTTCCTATGAATGAGCCAGTATATATTTATTACTGGAGTTCCAGCTGTAAAATTCAGGTAAGGGGTTTAAATATACCCTAGAGTATTATTTAAAAATAAATTTGTTTCTTTCAAATAGAATACCAACCTTGGTCTATGACATTTAGGGGAGAAATTAAAATATTAAACTTCTGTTACCTCGTAAACTGAAAATAAAGTAAAAGTTAAATAAATACACAGCAGAAAAATACATATACAAAATCACAACATCTAAAAAGACAAACAGTCTGCTGTTCTCTCCTGCAGGAGCTTTATCAGCAGTGGGTAAGTAATTCCACCTCTAGGGCAGTCCTAGTACTCAAAAATGTATACAAGTATGTACTTTGTTTATATCAAGAAGTATGCAGCATGGTTTATACTTCTTCACAGATATCGAACAACTAAATGAATTGTTTCAATGCACCAGTAGGGGCCAGCAAAGAGCTCTTAGAGTTTTTCAGAACAGAATTGGCATTGAGATATGTTTATTTGATGTGTTAAATCCTTTTTAGACTTCTTTACCTACCACAACACTCTCTTAAGTGAATGAATTGCAGAGACAGTGGAATAAAATATCTTGTGTGCTCAAACTATATTGGGGGATAGTTTTTCTGTCTAATCTGCATATATTTTTAATGGAATGTTTGCTTAGGCTATTTCTTGGCAGAGTTTTAATAGTCAAAATATAAATGGCATCATTTAAAGACTGTACTGCTTGGCTGGAAAAGCCTTAAAAGTACAGGAGAAAATGCTTGGTGACAGCTTCTCTCAAACTTTTTTTTTCTTAGACGTATGCTCAAGTTTTGCAGTAGTATTACTAGGCTAATTTTGTATTTCGATCCTTCAGCTTTCACTATTTATAAGTACGTACTGTTTTGGAAGCTAAAATATTTATCTATTTGATTTAATGCTAAAGTTTTAATTCACCTCAAAGTTTTGGTATTTCCAAATTTATACATGTTTTAATTTACTCATTTTAAAAATATTAACAGTCTATATTCCTTTCTATGTTTACTAAATTGACTAAATTGACTAGATTTCTATGTTTACTAAATTGACTGTTTGGAAATTCAATCCTTGATTTGATACTCAATTACATGGAGTTTCATTCCTACCAACTTCCTGTAATTCTATCCCTATGGGTAAAAATATTAGTGGTCAGACTCTGCTGGAGAAAGCATAGGCACCGTGATTCACATAGTTAAATGTTCATTTAGTAGAGCTGGAGTGAAAAAATACTGTTTCAACTTGAAATGCTAGAATATTGTTGTTCTTGTGTTACTCATTCATGCAAATTGGAGAAGGTATAATTGAAACAAGGTTGGCAGTGTTTGAGGCAGTGTGCTGCAGCTGAGCTCAGCTTAAAGGTCGCTGGAAATCAAGTGCTTTGTAAGTGAAGGCATTTTGACTACAGACGATTCAAGACATTTTGGAAACGTCAGTCTCGGGAATGGGCTGTCTTTTTCTTTCTGTGATATCTGGTCTCTAAGGTTTTACTTAGGATAAAGACTACGACTTCTAAGCTCTTTTAGGCACCACAAATGATTTTTTCTTTCGATGCAGTGCAGCTGCTTCTAGCCTGTCTACCGACAGAGATCTTTGTTATGACTTTCAGCCCTTAACATGTTTGGAAATGAGAACAAATGGCACAAAGCTTACGATTGCACTTTGCAGCCAGAAGAAGCAATACTTATCCTGTGTCAGAAACCTCTGGAGATGATTCGGATAGCAGTGTTCACATGTGCTTCACGAGACCAACACGGACTTCAACGTCTAACGTGGTTCAAATGAAGCTGACTCCCAGACAGACTACACTACCTCCGTTAATAAAGGAAAACGTTCAGTCTCAGGAAGGATCATCTGTTCCTTCACCTGAAAATGTTAATAAAAAGAGCAGCTGTCTGCAGATTTCACTACAGCCAACAAGGTACAGTGGATGTCTTCAGTCTGGCAATGTCTTAGCTGATGGTAATGATGCTTCATTTACTTGTGTCTTGAAGGATGGCAGTGCTGTGGTTGATAATGAACTGAATGCTGTGGATGATGGTAACCTCTTGAGCAGTCCTGCCATTTGCAGTGGTAGCCTTAGTCACTTCTCAGCCAGTGAGAATGGGTCTTATAGCAGCAACGGTAGTGATTATGGGTCATGCACAAGTATCACCAGTGGAGGTTCATACACCAACAGTATCATCAGTGATAGCAGTGGTTATACTTTTCCACCAACTGATGATACCTTTTTTGGTGGAAATTCATCTTCTCACAGCATCTCCAATAGAAGTTTGCCAAACAGGAATACTACTCCATGTGAAATTGTTTCGAGAAGTAGAAGTACAGTTCCCTTTGTCCAGCATGACCTGGATCGTGGACTAGAGATTATGAAATTGCCAGTGAGCAGGAACTTGAAAATTCCACTAAAACGTTGTTCATCCTTAGTCATTTTTCCTAAGAGTCCTTCAAATACCCCACCAACTTCTCTAACAAGTACAGGTACTCCTCCAAGCAAAGGATCCTATCAGACCTCACACCAGTTTATTATTTCTCCTAGTGAAATTGCCCACAATGAAGATGGCAGTAGTGCTAAGGGATTTCTTTCAACAGCTGTCAATGGACTTCGGTTATCTAAAACAATCTGTACTCCCAGAGAAGTAAGAGACATACGACCTCTTCACAGCTCATTACAAAAGAAAATTGTTATTGCAAATAATAGTCCAAATCAGACTGTCTGTGAAAAGTCATCTGAAGGATATTCTTGCGTTTCAGTGCATTTCACCCAACAAAAAGCAACTGCATTAGATTGTGAAACAGCAAATGGTGATTGTAGACCAGAGATGTCAGAAATTAAGCTTAATTCTGATTCAGAGTATATTAAGCTTATGCACAGGACATCTGCATGTTTACCATCTTCCCAAAATGTAGATTATCAAATAAATATCAATGGACAGTTGGAAAGACCACATTTACAGATAAACAAAAACCATGCTCTTTTACAAAGAAGTATTTCATTGGGAGGAACTTATCCAAATGTTTCCTGTTTATCCAGCCTTAAGCACAATTGTTCTAAGGGGGGACCATCTCAATTACTCATAAAGTTTGCATCTAGAAATGAAGGTAAAGTTGATAATTTAACAAGAGACAGCAACAGAGATTTCACAAATGAACTATCTAATTCTTTACAGCATTCTTGTAAGGTAAGTCTCCTTTGGTCTTGGTAAATGTTATTTTATACTAGAATGGCTCTATGAAATATTTGGTTAAAATTTATTATAACTTGGCAGCTTTATATATTTTCTTGGTCCTTAGCTAGCAAGCACTGTGTAGTCATGAACTTTATATTTGTAAACCTGAAAAAATGCCCAGTAGTTTTTCACTCTATTTGTTATTTTATCAATGTAGAAAATATGTATTTAAGAAAACTTTCCAAAGTGATTTAAGCCATAAAACATTTCTGTCGCATAAAAACAAGCTACAAATAATAATTTGATAACATTTTGCCTTCATACGTTTTGCCGTCAAGTGGCATGGTATTTTAATGTCTAACTCCGTATTTTATTCCTACTTTCAAAAATGCTCATTTTGTATTCTCCCCTCCTTAAGCATTGTGAAAAAAAGTAAAATATAGAAAGGCACTCAAAGTACTAAACAATAAAAAGTCTACATAAAAATGTGAAAATCTTCTTATAAATGAACATAGAGAAAATGTTTCTTTAAAATACATATATTTATTTGATCATCGATAAAAACTGTTATGCCGAATGTTTAAAACAGAGGAAAAATAAATGTTATCTGCATTTGTATATACCCTTAACCACAGGAATTTTGTTTCCACCCTATTTTTCTTTAGCTACCAGTTAAGTGTGCCTTCTAAAATGTAACTCACTCAACAATATTGAATTCTAAATTTTGTATTTTTAAATTTGGTTTCAATTGCTAGGTATTTTCCATAATTCTCTAATTACCCAATTAATTTGTTATTTTGGTAATTTTGCTTTATTATATTAGTAATTTAACTCTAGTGAATCTTAACCAAGACAGTTTTTTAATGTAATTTGGCCTTTCCAAAGTATTTTAAGTGTTTTGAACTTAAATAGATTTTTTAAATTTCTGTATTTGGAAGATCTTGCCAGATTTCTGCAAATGAAAAAAATGTTTCTGACTAAACCAGTTTTAGATGACAGTACGTAATAGTTTTGGGGAAAAAAACTTATCTGTTTATTTGTGTTTGTATAACAATATCAATCAATATTAAAGATTCTTTTAACACTTATGGGCAAATAAAATATTAAGTAATTACTAGTTTGTTTTCTCTCTTTTGAAGTCTGATAAATATAATTCTTGTTATCCAATGCCCAGATGTTAATATAAGCAGCTACTTTACTGAGGATGAATAAAGATCACATTTCAAATTCTGATGTATGTTTTAGAATTATTAATTCCATTTATAAAACTTTTAAAATACCAGCTGTTAGGAGATTATAATCCATTCAGTTGTCTTGTCTTCTAAAAAAAAGCAATTAAGTGACACTATGAAAAAATACATTAATAGTTTGCTAATTGTACGACATGTACCTTGTAAATTTATTTTACATTTAATGAAATAATTAACCTGAAAGGAAAAATTAACCTAGAAATATTTCTAGAAATATCCTTTAAATAGTTGATTTTGTGGTAATATTATAGTTTGTTGCTGTTGATGCTTTTGAAAAAATGGTATTTTTAATGTTTTTTTAAAAAGTGTGACTGCCTTTTGCGTGGCTAAAAGATACACTTTTATTGGCTTTATTTAAAATTAGGTAAGCTAACTTAAATATTTTTTTGTGACAGCCAAATGCCTAGCTTTCTGCAGATTCTATTTTTTTTTGATAGATTATTGGATTATAAAATAGTTCAGAAGTGTGTCATTTGCTGGAGAGCTTTAAATTGTTCCTCCTTTTAATGTTTATTAAACAACTGTTTATACAAGAATTGTAAACAATATAGGACCATTACATTTAACACATACTGGATCTAAATTGATCTAATTGTTTAGTGGTAAATCAAGGGCTTGTTTTAAGAGGAAAATAGTAATGTTGTTTTTTCTAAACATAGCAGTGACAACAATAATGGGGTTTTAGAAATAATCCTGTGTTTATCAATAATTATATATTAATCTAATTATAGTGGTATATTGTAACTCATTTATAAATAAACAGCTCCCAAAATATTTCCCATGACTCCAGTTAGTCTGGGTTAGTATTCTGATATGCTGAGTCTGGATTCACATTTAACAAGTTGATATTAGAGTAGCATTTAGTAATGTCAGCTATCTGTACCCAGCAGCCATGAAATTAAATCACTGCTTTGGTCAGGGACCCTGGTTTCTAAAGCACTGAGAGGTCTACAGATTCTTTTCTTCTGTGTTTAGCTACCAGTCTCTAGGAGGATAGTATCCAGTTTCTAGCTCTCTATAATCAACAGCTCATTACTGGCTAATTTTTTAAATTTAGTAAGAACTTTTACCTGTATCTGCGACTGGGGTTCTGTGTGTTGTTTACAACTTGGGATGAAGATGAGACTTTGTATTCCACATAATAATGTTGATTTCACTTATTGCCATCAAAGAGCATAACAATAACTGGCATATATTTATTATATATATTTTTTGAGAGACAATATTACTTTTGTAAAGGCTTTATAATGACTTTTGGTCTGAAATTAGATATTTGATATTTTAACAAGGAGCTAAGATGGTTTTTATACAGTTACAGAAATTACCATTCAGATTTCTAAAATCTGTGCAATAGTTAGTTTACTATTATTTTATTTTTCCTTATCTATTGTTTTTTTTAATTTCCTGTATTGTTAGGATGCTCAGAAATTTCATTGCCCTATTATTTAAAATACCTTAGCATTTGCCTAAGCTTGTATATGTCTTCCATACTTCATGTATATGCATGCTTTTATCAGAAATTTTGACTTTACATTTTTCTTTTTATTATAAACGTTTTTGTTTATTTTCTATTTAATCCTGGGTAGGTAAATTGCTTAAGCCTAGTGTAGAAGAACTTTAAAAAACTATGTTTCAATTATTTCAAAGCCTTTAAAACTAATCTCAAGAATTTACATTTCAATAATATATTTAGCTGTTCTTCCCAAAATAACTGTTTTAAATATTTACTATTTTTAGTGTTCCATTATTTTCTTAGTCCTTATTTTATTAACTTTAGCAGAATATTTAGAGACATTCGGTTAAATTTATTTTGAACACTTAATCTTTCCTATAAAAATCAATATAGTTTATAAGTATTAACCCTAAAACTGTAATGCACCAATGTTAATGACCAGTTTTAGAAACCTGGTGAGAGGTGTGTGCATATATATGTACATTTCTTAGAACTGAAGAACTAAAATATTAATTTCAGGGTGCTTCAGGGAGGTGAATTGTTTGCTTCAGAAATACTTTGTATTTCTCTGTAGATGTGTCTTTAATTCATTCATCTGGCACATGTTTGAGTGCCAACTGTTTGCCAGTCACTGACTCAAGCTCTGGGAATAAAAGATACTGAAGCACAGTTTCTATTTGGGGGAACTCCCATCCTAGTTAGAGACACACTGGTAGATAAAAAAAATTTCAGTCTAAAGTGTGATGTACTAAAATAGAGCTGTATATGAGAAAGTAAGAAAGATGCAGTGTGACTCGAGCACAGGGAGTCCAGGGATGTGGGAGGAGATGATACACTGGCAGTGGGTGGGAGTCCCATTGCATGGAGCACCTCATGCTGAAAGAAAGCAGTGTGTCTCCTGCTAACAGATAATAGTTAGGCAATGGAAGTCGTTTGAGAGTGTGACATGCTCACTTTTATGTTTTTAGATGATAATTTCTTATGACACCATAGATTATAAGTGAATTAAAGTTTTCTTAACTTGGATGACCAGGTGAATAGTGACATCATGAACTAAGATAGGGAATTCAGGAGAAGGGGCCAGATTGGGAGGGCAAAGAAAAAACCATGCGTCATTAAGTTTCTGTACTGAGAAGCTGCCCTGGTAGTACTGTTGTCAAGTAAGGTAGTTGGAGATACAGGCTCAGGATGCAGGAGAGAAGTGAGAGCTGGAAATGCAGCTTGGGAGTTATGAGTCTAGTCAAAGACTTAGGTAAGGATGAACTGAAAAAAGCATGAAAGTGAGATGGGAGGAGTGATAAATCAGAATTCTGGGGAATACCAACTTTGGAGAAACAGTGGAAGAGGAGATAAAAAGGAGTCCAAGAAAGAGCCACCGGAGGAGCAGAGAGGCCCAGAGAGCTTGGAGGCCTGAAAGCCAAGGGAAGGGAAAGTTCAAGGTGAGCAGCATACAGTGCCATGGAATTTAGGTATCCATTGAATGTAAGAGGTCCTTGGTGACTTTAGTAAAAGTAGGCTTAGGAGCATAGTGTAAAAGCTTGGTTGAAGAAAGAATGAAACAGGTGAGGAAGCAAAAACAGCAGGCATAGCTTGTTTGCTGAATGTCATAAAAATAGTCATGAGTTAGTATAGGCAAGGTATATATTTAATGGCTATTATGTAGAAGACATGGTATTATGTGGTTATAATTGCGTAAGACAAACTGTCCACAAGGATATTGCAGCCTGTTCTCTAGGAGGAGAAAAGTTCTGTAGCTCTCTGTTCTTTCACCTTAGAAGTAAAGAATAAGTGAGCATCGGCAGTGAAAACTGAAATGGAGACTGAGCAATATGAAATGAAGGGAACAAACAATTAGGAGTGAAAGCGTGAAACCACCTGTGAGTAGTCACAACTCTTGGCGAGCAGCATTATCCTAACGTTCTTCTCCCCCTCCCTACCACCCAAAATAAGACAAGACAAAAATAGAGCTTCCAGGTAGAAAACAGGTCAGGGTTTAAGGCCTCTTCCTAGAAACGACTTGGAGAAGAGGCATCTCTGTCTTGCTGTCAGCGGCTTCTTCCAGCATGTGGAGCCCACCGTGTGCTACCTGTGGTGAGGCCTGGCCCTTCTAGATCCACTCTCCCTTTATGTTATGGGTGACAGGGAACAGGATGAACTAGGAGAAGCCAGGACCGGAGGCTGTATGGGCAGAAGGGGCTTGGCAGACTCCCTGGGTGTGGCCAGCCAACGTGTTGAGGTCAGGAGGGTGGTTAGCAGGAGTCAATGAGTGGTGAGAAGGGCATCCAATGATCTTGCCAACATATACACAA